AATAAGGCTATATTCGCCAGAGGTCGTCACGGGTCAGGCCTAGGTTGATTAGGGTCCAAGTCGGGTCGTTATAGGTTTCAATTAGGTTACATAGGGTCCAGGTTAGGTCACCGCGGGTTGCGTATAGGTCCAAGTTAGGTCTCCACAGGTTACGTATAGGTTCAAGTCGGTTACCACGTGTCATTTATTAAGCAAGGTCAGAGCTTATTATATATTTATTATCGGGTCTAAATAAGAAAGAGTTAGGTCACGTATCCACTGTACTTATTACTTGAGCAGAGTAAGAAAGAGTTTGGAAGAGTTCGAAAGAGTCACTTTATTTACTAGTCAAAAGCGCCCTATTTATACAATTCGATGTTTAAGGGTTTCAAACCCAGATCTGGGGTTCGAACCCGAATCCGGGGTTTCGAACCCAGATCCCGGGTTTCAAACCCCAAACCCGGGTTTCGAACCCGTACACGTGCTATTACTATCGTGACTACATGGTTTACTGCTTTTACATAGGAAGATAAAGAAACTACATAGCGAAAATGCAAGGTACGAAAATTTTGTCAAAATTTTTCGTAACACTAATCAAACTATTCTTCTAACCCTAATCATAACTATTAGTAAATACAATAAGTTTTAAATTTATATATGAGACACAATAAATACATAAATGAATACATAAATGCTTGAATACATAAATGCTGGTATAGTAAAATAATTAATCTATTTCTCGTTATTATTCTTAATCTTTCATATCACCGCTATAAATATTCATTTTTATCTTTTTAGAATCAAAATCAATTTTCATCCTTTTAGAATCAATATTCATTTCTAGCTTTTCAGTAGTGTCAATATCCATTTTTCTCTTTTTAGAATCAATATCCATTTTTATATCCATTTTTATATTTTCCGTAGTGTCAATTACATCTATTTTTATATTTTCAACATCAATATTATTATTTGATATAAAACATTGTTGTAATTGATTGATACAACTGATAATTTTACTGCTATAAATAAAATTATTATTATTACTAATGTTAGAGCGATTGTTTTCTATTGCCATTTAATTATCAAAGTTTATAAATTCTGATAAAATTTTAAAATCATTCTTCCATTTTGTAATAGTTTCATAAATTTCTGATGCTGATGGGCGTTTGTCTGGATCCTTATCCCAACATTTCTTTAAAAGTTCTGCGTAATATGTTACTGTACCTTTAAGAATATGAGGTCTTAATCCTTCACAAATTTCTATAGCAAAGCTCTTATCATCACCTTCATATTTAGAAAAGGCAATATTTCCTGAAGAAATTTCTCACATAATTATTCCAAAAGAATAAATGTCTGATGCTTTGGTAACCGATTTTCCTTGTAAAATTTCAGGTGCAATATAAGGTAAAGCTCCATAAATTTCTCTAGATTCCGTGTCTAATGTTTTATCTATTGCCGTTGCAAATCCTAAATCTCCAATATATGCATTATGTAAATTGTCTTGAAATATATTTCCACTATGTAAATCTCGATGAATAATATTATGCGAGTGAATTATCTGAAGATCAGATGCAATATAAGATATCAATTCTAATTTTTTCGACCATTCCATTTGTGCTATAGCATAAAGATTTTTACGTAGAGATCCCATGCGCGCATATTGCATGACTAAAATATACTTTCCTGTACCTTCATCCCTTGATACGCCACGACATTGTAAAAATGTCGGATTTTTAAGTCCAATTCTAGAATATGCATTTAACTTAAAAATATTTATCAATTAAATCTATTAGTTAACTTTGTAATTTAATGAAACGTTAGACTAACAAATATTTATCAATTAAATATATTAGTCAACTTTATAATTTAATGAAACGTTTAACTAGGGTGCGGGAAAAAAAGCCCGATCGATTTCGGAATTTTTAAAGGCTGTAAAAATAGTGTTCCACAATTAATA